ACAAACTAGGTTTTGTTCCATATGAGTCTGGCAGGTACAGCTTTGTTTCCATCTTCCCTCAGCCCAGTGTGAGCGACCATCCATCCAGTCATTAAACACATTCATTCTGGCACGGGCAAGTAATACCATGGGTACTGAAAACTGTACTCCAGGTTTTCTCTTAAGAAACAGCTCGTGGCTGACTGGCTTCAACATCTGAAGAGGTATGTGGGAAGACAGGAGCTTCCTCCCATGGCTGGCAGCTTAACTCCCAGAGCTTTGCACAGCTTTCAGGCTTCCACTGTTGGCAAGTGGTTGCAGTTCAACAGGATGGATGGATCCCAATGTTAAGACAAAGTGGATATACACTATGGTTTCAGAAAACTAAAGAGCTCTGTGCTACGGTTTTAAACACTTGAAGAGCACTGTTTAACTGACAAGATAGCTATCATGAAGATCAAGGCAGATTCAATGCCAGTTTCTTAAATCTTGATGTTCTACAGCCAAAGAAATAAAAGTATATGAATTGGACCAATAACGTTATACAATATCAAAACCCAAATGTTTTTACGTGAAGTTGCAAGGCAGTAATTAATAAGTGCATCCCCTGACACAGTACAAAAATAAGTAAATCTACATTTCCCGTATGTGACAATATTCACTACTGTCTCAGAAGTACAAGGAAACCATTCCCATCTATTTTCATCTCTTATACAATAATGACCATCAAAACAAGAGAATTGAGAACGGGTCTTTTGTCTTCAATTTTTGCTAACAATACATACGAAGCTACTTTTTAGATCTGACACTAATAACTGCCGGTTGATCACTGAATTACAGCTTTCAATATTATATTTAATTATGTAAATCAGTGCTTGCAGATGCCAAAATAATTAGAACACACTCAAGTTCTACATTCAAAGTATTTAAAAATAAGTGCTCGTTTATTTGTATAACATGCAGTTGATAGAATGAAAATTAACTTGTTCTGGTTCTTTAAGTGATTAGGAAAATACATTTGCTACTTGCCATCCTGGTCTCGTTCTCCACTCTAAGAGATGAGCATTTCCTCACCTATCCTCTGCCCCAACCCTAACCCAGGAGCAGCACTTTGTGCAAAGCCAGCCTTCGACAAAGAGGCAATTCCAACTGGGGAAGTCACCAGCCCTTATGGCACTGCAAGAGACTCTCCTGCTGCTCATCCTGAAGGCGTCGTTCATATCTGAGCCACACACAAGAGACTCGCATTTCCTCACGCACAAATATGCCAGCCCATCCCAGCCTGCTGAATACCAGTCAGCCTTAAGCATACACCTACCAGCTTCTTGCTGTGCAAAGATGCCATGTACAGCCCCCACACTTCACGCCTGCAAAGCCTTGTTTCATTTTTCATGGGATTTCTCCTGCTTCATTTCCAGCATTTTTTTTTTTTTAATTCAAATGGCAGACAGTGCCTGCAATTACTGTTTCACTTTGATTAAGAATGGTGGAAGGACTCAGAACCTAATCTGATATCCAGCTATCCTGCTCTCTCAGTCCAAATGATGGCACTGAAGTAACCAAAACAGGTTTCACTTTAAAGACAGCAGTCTAAGAGATGTTCTTTTAAAACACTTCAAGATCTCCAAAGCGACTGACAACATTTCTTGGCTATTTAGGTTTCCAGGTTTTTTTTTTTTTTTTTTTTAAACCATGCAATATCTCAGCATGATGTTTACAAAAATCTAAGATAAGCTGGCTATGCCAGCAAACTGACACACACACACAGGGTCCTTTGAAATATGATGCAAGAATGGAGGATTTTTGCAGCGGTGCAGCTATGTGGACACACATCAGCTACCCTGCAAGCACATGCTTCATTCTGCAATACCAGCTCTACAGACAAAGCAGCAGCATTTAATAGGTTACAGCCCCATTTCCACCCCCCTAACGCCAAAGAAAAGTGGCTTTTCTCAAACCTGGCAGCAAGGACTGTTGGTAGCTCTAATGGACAGTGCTGCAGCAGACAGCAGGAGCTCAGTGACTGCTCTCAGCTGTTTGCAAGGTTCACCAGACTCACTCTGGCCTCACAGCTACCATAGAGCCCACCTACGTTTTGAATGAAGAAAGAAGAAAGTAATGCACTTCCCCTTCAATTTGTTTATATGTTTACCATTCTTTGTTAGACTTTTTTCAATTATTATGTTCCTTCGTTACCCAGCTGTAATGTGGGCTTCAGTAAGACTACTGACAGCAGAACAAGGTCAAAATGGATAAGGAACATCAAAAAGCCATAAGCGGACTTTGCAGCAAGACTGATGACATTAAGCATACACAAGACATATTGTCTTATGTAGTAGATGCCTTCATTGAGGACAACCATGAAAATCTATCACTGAAAATTTTAAGCCTGCTACTTTAAGCCTCCATAAATCTGCACAAGTGCCCCTGCTGATAACCTGAAGTTGGACAATTAAAATGGCAGTTGGTTAAGAAGAATGTGAAAACAGCAATTGGTTAAGAAGAATGTGTTGTGAATCCAGTATGCAGGAAGAACTTTTGCTGCAGCGGAAATATCACAAGTAGAAACAACCTATTTGATATCCCCTCTAATCAAGGGATGAGTACACAGAAGCTTTGCACTCATGATAAAGACAGGATCTATCATTTTTTTTCTGTGGTATGGAGACAAGTGTTAGTAGCCATCTGGACAACACAGTGGCATTCCATTCAAAACAACCCTGTTGCCCACGTTCAAGAAATAATGGTATCGAACTCAAGTAGATGAAAGTAATGGAATAATGGAACAAGGATTTTAGAAGAGGCTGTTCTAAGACTTCAAAGTCCATCAAAACATCGTTAGGGAACAGCTGCTGCCTACTGAAGAACCAAGTCAAGGTACTAGAAAGGAGAAATAAAACCAGGTGAAGCACAGATGTAGCTGGACATGAACCAGCCATTTACAGTGCCAAGGCAAAGATGAAGGACTAATTCTTCTGATTGTATGAGAAGACAGCAGCAAACACCCAGGTACCACTGCCTTTGCGGCTCCTCTGGAGCAGAAGCTCCCATACCTGGAGTGCCCTGGAGAGGCAGGTCAGCTGAAAACTGAAGGCACCATTTCCAGAGAACGGAAAAGGAAACACAGAACATGTAGCATTTCAAGCAGACCTACGTTAAAATGTATTTAGAGAACAGTGTTCAAGAACATCACAAGCACATCTCACTCATCCAGCTGAGGCACACGGCTGGTGATGCAAGTCAATCACAAACAGCAGCCACAATAAACTGAGGCTGTGCAGTGAAGTGGTAGAACTGGCACTAGGGAAACATCTGACCCAGGTTAGCACATGACCTCTGCTTTTCAGGAAGCAACTCATCACAAGACAACGCTGTTACCACACGTTTGATGTGCGCCCTGAACCCACCTTACCCCATCCTGCAACACATCTTCTCGGCAGTGCCAAACCCAGCCTGCACCAGCCGTACAGGTGCTCCACTCGCAGCACCTCCGTGCTCGGCGCTGCCATTCTTACACAGCACAACAGGAGCCGGCAAGATTTCTGCCGGGCACTCTTCTCTTTTAGAACACCCAGCAAAGCCCGCTCGGCTCGCTCCTGAGGCTGTACGGGATAACACGAGGC